GATTCAACTGAGCAGGTGGGGAGATTCAACTGAGCAGGTGGGGAGATTCAAGTGAGCAGGTGGGGAGATTCAAGTGAGCAGGTGGGGAGATTCAACTGAGCAGGTGGGGAGATTCAAGTGAGCAGGTGGGGAGATTCAAGTGAGCAGGTGGGGAGATTCAACTAAGCAGGTGGGGAGATTCAACTGAGCAGGTGGGGAGATTCAAGTGAGCAGGTGGGGAGATTCAACTGAGCAGGTGGGGAGATTCAAGTGAGCAGGTGGGGAGATTCAACTGAGCAGGTGGGGAGATTCAAGTGAGCAGGTGGGGGAGATTCAACTGAGCAGGTGGGGAGATTCAACTGAGCAGGTGGGGAGATTCAACTGAGCAGGTGGGGAGATTCAAGTGAGCAGGTGGGGGAGATTCAACTGAGCAGGTGGGGAGATTCAACTGAGCAGGTGGGGAGATTCAACTGAGCAGGTAGGGAGATTCAACTGAGCAGGTGGGGAGATTCAACTGAGCAGGTGGGGAGATTCAAGTGAGCAGGTGGGGAGATTCAACTGAGCAGGTGGGGAGATTCAAGTGAGCAGGTGGGGAGATTCAACTGAGCAGGTGGGGAGATTCAACTGAGCAGGTAGGGAGATTCAACTGAGCAGGTGGGGAGATTCAAGAGAGCAGGTGGGGAGATTCAAGTGAGCAGGTGGGGAGATTCAAGTGAGCAGGTGGGGAGATTCAACTGAGCAGGTGGGGAGATTCAACTGAGCAGGTGGGGAGATTCAAGTGAGCAGGTGGGGAGATTCAACTGAGCAGGTGGGGAGATTCAAGTGAGCAGGTGGGGAGATTCAACTGAGCAGTTGGGGAGATTCAACTGAGCAGGTGGGGAGATTCAACTGAGCAGGTGAGGAGATTCAACTGAGCAGGTGGGGAGATTCAACTGATCAGGTGGGGAGATTCAACTGAGCAGGTGGGGAGATTCAAGTGAGCAGGTGGGGAGATTCAACTGAGCAGGTGAGGAGATTCAACAGAGCAAGTGGGGAGATTCAAGAGAGCAGGTGGGGAGATTCAAGTGAGCAGGTGGGGAGATTCAAGTGAGCAGGTGGGGAGATTCAACTGAGTAGGTGGGGAGATTCAACTGAGCAGGTGGGGAGATTCAACTGAGCAGGTGGGGAGATTCAACTGAGCAGGTGGGGAGATTCAAGTGAGCAGGTGGGGAGATTCAACTGAGCAGGTGGGGAGATTCAACTGAGCAGGTGGGGAGATTCAACTGAGCAGGTGGGGAGATTCAACTGAGCAGGTGGGGAGATTCAACTGAGCAGGTGGGGAGATTCAACTGAGCAGGTGGGGAGATTCAACTGAGCAGGTGGGGAGCAGGGTTGTCGATTGGTCTGGGCCCAGCCCTTACGAAGCCGAGCTTGCCCTGAAACAAGCCCTGAATTATCCGAAAAGCAACCGAATCTAGCCCTTGAAATTCAGGCCATTTGATTCCTGCCTTATGCGTCATAAAGCTAGGTAAATCCTAGCTACCTAGGGAAGGGTTGGGGGTTGGGAGGGGAGAGAAGAGGGACACGTACACGGTCAGGAAGAAGAGGGGGAAGGAGGGGGTAGTGGGGAGCAGGTACACAGAAAATCCGGGGAAGGCTCCAAACCCGTCCGTTAGGGAAAAACCAACCCTGAAAATCTTTGAGCTGAGAATCAAACCCTGAATCGACAGGCCTGCTGCGGAGATTTAACTGAACAGGTGGGGAGGTTCAGTTGAGCCATGCATGATACAGCAAGGCATGAATCAGCCTGGCATGATTCAGCCTGGAATGATTCAGCCACGCATGATGGGTGACTGAGGTGGGTGATTCAGGTGGGTGACTCAGGTGGGTGCGTAAGGTGGGTGATTCAGGTGGGTGACTCAGGTGGGTGCGTAAGGTGGGTGATTCAGGTGGGTGACTCAGATGGGTGCGTAAGGTGGGTGATTCAGGTGGGTGACTCAGATGGGTGCGTAAGGTGGGTGATTCAGGTGGGTAAAGGAGGTGGGAGACTCAGGTGGGTGGCTCTGGTGGGTGTCTAAGGTGGGTGACAAAAGGATGTGGAGAAGGATTGTTTGCAAGGAACCACAGACTCTGTCATTTTGAACACCCGCCCCACCCACCTCTTGCAGTGGCTGTTCTGACAGGACCTGCTGGTTTTGTCGCTGTCGGTGTTTCATTTCGTCTCTCCTCCTGCCCCAGCCTCTTTGGTCAGTTTCTGGTCAGTTTCAGGTCACTCTCAAGTCACTCTCAGGTCACTCTCAGGTCACTCTCAGGTCACTCTCAAGTCACTCTCAAGTCACTCTCATTCCCGTCTCCCCCATCCCGTTCCCCTTGCAATGTCCCCATCCCCATCCCCATCCCCATCCCATTGTCATTCTCCCCGCCCCATGTGTGTACAGTACAGCCAGAAGCGGCCATCACACCCAAACCGCCTATCCTGCACCCACTTCAGTCTCTTGCCACCCTTTCCCATCCACCCACCAGGTGTGCACAGTCAAGCCAGTAGCATCCATCCCCTGCTGTCTCCACAATCGCACATCAAACAGTGATAACATATCTTTTAACTGAGGTCAGTAGTGTCGTGTATGGAATCTGCTGCTACCGAATCAGGTCTGTGCCCCCATGTGCCGCCTGGCTCGCCACCACTGCCATTGGCACCCCGTTGTCTCTTGTGTCCTCCCTTTCAATGCAGAGGAGGCACTCCCTTGATCTCACTGCCCCTTGATTTCACCGCCCCTTCATCCCATTACCCCATGATCCCACCACCCCATCACCCCTTCCCCCATCGCCCATCGTCCCATCTTCTCCCCACCATGCCCTTGCATTAGCTAAGGTCCTCGCTGCAATGGTTGGTGTGAAACAGCTTTGGCAGGTCACTGCCTGCCCTGCCCCCTCATGTGCCCAACTCCCTTACCTGCATGAGGCATGAGCAACAGCTTGATAATAAACCCGCATGAGCCTTAGGTGTTATGGCCGTCTCATGCCTGCTGTGCCACCCAGCTTTTCCTCCCCCCTTTCCGTTTCCCCTTCACTTGTTTGTGCGCGATACCTTTTCTGCCTCCCCACCTTCCTCCTATCGACTTTGCCCCAACAGGGTGGCAAAGTTTCAGCTGGGGGGTTATGTGTCGCATGCCTCTGCTGTTCATCTCATCAACCGCACGAGAGTGGCCGAGATGCCGGTAACACGAGACGATTGACAGAATAGTGACTTGACGACCATCGAGTACACAGTTCTGCACGTCTCACTTATGTGTAGATAGTCCTAGCTCTGCACTCCTTTCCTGTCTGTCGGAAACCTATTACAGGGATACGACAACGAGGTCAAAAGGATACTCGATATGCTGCCTACTGTACTGGGGTCACTGGGTCTGAACTGAAACGCACCACCACTCTGAGCTTGGAAGGAATTGAGTATGTTGTAGACCCTAGCTCGTTTCCCAAACGTTCATTTTATTCCAAAATTATTCGTTTAAGAAGTGCAACTGATGCACAGCATTGGTTGGCACTACCCTTCAATGCCTTAAAAGTCATCCCGAGATGGTAACTAATCTTAGTATTGCAGTTAAATGTACCTTTGATGGTAAAAATAATACTGTATCCAAAACTGCACCTACCAATATGGTTGTATCCGCTTGCCTGGCCTTCCGTTCGCGCTGACTGACGCGTTGAAAGACGTCGCACATTTTCAATGCTCGATAGGTCGCACATTTGACTAGAAGCCAACCTCCACAGATACACATGATGCTCACCCCCTGCACGCGAAATTACCTTGCACCGGATGGAAACCTTGCACCCGTGGGTTTTGTGCCGTGAGGTTGCACCCACGTTACAAGCACGTCGACCAATATGAACCACAGAAATTGAAGTCTGACTGAAGAGACTGCAGTCAAACAGTCAACGGTGAGCTACAAAAGTTTTTTATAAGCCCTTTTTGCCCGAAGCGAATTGACGAAACCTCCGCGAAATGCAAGAATCGCTTATAAGCCCAGAGGGTAAGGCAAGGTCGGGGGGCTCAACCGGGCATCGTGCATTCACAATCTCCCCACGCCGTCTACCTTGCACTCCACGCGGCTACTCTCGACCTGCTCCAGCAGGCCCTATTCTGCAGGCGCAAAGCCGGCATCACCACTCTCATCCCCTCTTAGGACCAACGAACCCTATCGGCAGGCGCAAGGCCAAGATGATCGCCCTTGGAGCAGTGAGCAGGGGCTTCTTGACTGGCTCCTGTCTTGTGAGCGTGACATTCCATATCTAGAAGGAAATGCATTCGCGTGACATATTGCATTTGTACATGTCTCATGGCATGATAATATGCATTAGATTCGAAAGCATGATATAGTGCATGCTGAATAGCTCCACCACGTAATTACATTCACGATAATTCATGGCCGTTTTATTAAGATGCAAATAGTTGTTGAATCACTACAGAACAAGGCTATACTGGTGGCGAAAGTTTGCACTAAGGAATCACCTTCCATCACGCAGGTGCTTCGAACTTCGAAATTCAAATCATGGTCGGCATCATTTTGCGTTTCAGCATGCCCCGATGGTGAGCAATTCCTGAAAATATCCGAACAATTTCCGATTTTTCTGGTGTGGCTCGCGTTTCTTCCGTAAGTACCTCGTAAACGTGATCCACACCCCAGGGTAAGTGATGGGATGTTTCCCGCACTATGTCCTGTCGCAAAACCATGCTAGACTCCCTTGGTTAAATCTTCGAGAGTGTTTTTTTCATGGAAAGGGAGCACGCATTCGTAAGTCCACCTCTTCTGTTTTGATGGGTGATGTGCGAAGGAGATTGTCGGATGCGCAAAAGCGGAGCGAGGTAGAGCAGAGCAGCTGCGCGACTCAATGCTGACAAGTCGAGAAGCTGAACTTGTGCGACAAGAGCTCCAGCAGGCAATTAGTAACTTCGTTTCGACCTGCCGGTCTGATATCGCTGTCTCGTCTCTCGGCCGTTGATGCTTCTGCTACGTTACAGAAGCTAGCCTCCTCCAGACAATATGGCTCGCTCGTACATCCACGGTCTGTCGGACGACCTACTTATAAACATCTTATGGCCCTCTAAGCAGCTTACCTCTTACGATCCAATCGAAATCAACACATCAACCGATTTTGTGCTGCCTCGACCAACCTACACCTCCGAAAACCCGTACGGCGACGAGCCCAACACCCCCGGCGAAAGCTCGTTTCGACGGAAGAGCAATAGTCCGTTGACAGCTCCGCCCGCGCTGACAGACGTCGCCTACAATCTCCTCATCGCCTCCGTGTGCTCGCGCTGGCGTCGCCTGGCTCGCCAGCACATCTCCATGCTCGTCGTCAAGGAAAACCGTGCCGTTTCGCTCCGAGACCTGACCGCAGCCATCGCGTGCTTTCAGAACCTCTCGCACGTGCATCTGAGCGACAACAGCGTGGAGAGCATCGACGACGCCTTCCTCGCTCGCCTCGCTGCTGCATGCCCGACGCTCGTATCGCTCCACGTGGGAAAGGGGATTACTCCAGAGTGGGCCTGGGATAGGGAGGACGAGCATCCCGTGACCGAGGCCGGCTTGGACCATTTTGTGCGCAGCTGCACTCAACTGCAGCACCTCTCGCTCTACTGCCTGCATCGATACGGGAAGCCACCTGCCTCTCTCTCGCTCCTCACGGACCTGCACACCCTGACTCTAACCCACAGCGCAGCTCTTCAAGCACCAGGATTCACCAACCTGTGTTCTCTCGCCACTCTCTCCGTTGACATCTCGGAGCATGATGAGGAGCTGGATCTCACCACCCTCGTGCACCTCCCGGCCTTTGCCAACCTCGCTCTGTGCGGCGAAACAAAGCTCAATCTCGAAGGCGAGAACGCCCACCCGGTCTCGTTCGCTCGGATGGCTCACCTTGAGTCGCTCGAATTCGACTACAACTCTCCGCGATTCAGCTTGCTGTTTCCGTCAGGAGTAACGTTCAGTCGTCTCGAGCGGCTGCTTCTCAGCGGCTGCGACAAGCTCGAGCGCCTTCCGGACGACATCGGGGAGCGAATGCCGCACCTTCGAGATTTGACCATCAGCTCATGCCATAATCTACCGGAGCTGCCAGATCACTTCACTTCCCTCCACTGCCTCCAGAAGCTGACGATTTCCTCGCTCGACCTGGCGAGCCTGCCTGCGAGCTTCGGAAAGCTGTCTGTTTTGAAGGACTTGACGCTGCACCGGCTGCCGATCTCAGGCCTGCCGGACTCCTTCCACCAGCTCACGTCGCTGGAGGTTTTGAATGTGCACGATTGCCTCGCCATGGTGGAGTTGGGGGCGAGCTTCGGCAGCCTCCACGCACTCAAGTCTCTCAGCATCGCCAACTCGCCAAAGCTGGTTCTTCCGGAAGACATCGGAGTGCTCACGGACCTTCACACTTTCCGAGTGACTTTAAATAGCGTACAAGAGCTGCTGCCATCCTCGTTCACTCAGCTGATGTCACTGACACGCCTCGAGCTGAACCTGTGCGACATGATACAGGAGCTACCAGAGGGGCTGGAGAGGCTGAGTAACTTACGGGAGCTGAGCATCTGGTCACGCTCGACGATTCAGAAGCTTCCCGAGAGTATTACAGACCTTGGCAGCCTTGAGGTTCTGCGAGTTGACGGCTGCAGCAGCCTCTGTTCCATTCCTGGGAGTTTGAGCGCTCTTGGAAGGCTGAGAGAGTTGGCCATTGGCAAGTGTGCGCAGCTGCCAGAGCTCTCCAACTCCCTGCCACCGTCGCTCGAGGTGCTCAGCTTGGGGTGCCCCCAACAGCTCACCCCTCTTACAGAGCTTCCTGTGCTGCCTATGCTGAGGCATATTAGCCTAACCAGTGTGGTCCTGCTGCGTGGGCTGGTCGGCATTGTGAGTCTGTCCTCCCTGGAGCACTTGGAGCTGGCGCTGGCAGGCGAGGCTGAGGAGCTGCCACTGTCCCTGGCGCTCTGCCCTAACCTGCGCACTCTCACCATTCACAGTGCTGCACGCTTGAAGGCCCTTCCGGATGATTTGGGTTCAGCCGTGCAGCAGCTGAGGCAGCTGCGCATCGAGCGGGCTGGGGAGTTGAGAGCGCTGCCAGACTCTCTCACCCACCTGCACTGCCTGACCTCCCTGCAAGTCCATGCACCCAAGCTGCCTTCCCTGCCAGACGGCATCGGCGCCTTATCCCGACTGCGCGTGTTGAATCTGGCCCACTGCTCATCGCTCACATGCCTCCCTGCTTCTCTCACCCGCCTCTCCTGCCTGCATGAGCTCAACCTTGGCTGGACCGCCATACGCTCCCTGCCTTGCCGCTTTGCCCAGCTGAGCCGTCTCAAGACTCTTGACCTGCAAGTATGCGAGCACTTGCAGTCGCTGCCTGATGATTTCACTCAGCTCAAGATGCTGCATAGGCTGAATGTCAGGTGTGCCAAAGTGATTGCTGAGGATGGAGGTGTGAGAGACATGTATGGAGTGATATTTTGGTAAATCACATAGCTTTATGTTAAGTTTTTACTAGGGTGTCATTCTTTTACTGGAGAATCGACTCTCAAATTCCTGTAAACGGTTACCGCATAGGAAATGACCTCCCAGTACTGTAGGTGGCAAATATCATTGTTTCCACATCCATTCACAACAAACTACTGTACTAGGCACGTACAAAGCTGAATACAGCATCTAATGTCATGGTGAACCGACCCTGATACGAAAGCAGACAAGTCTGCAAATACTGCTCTTCTGGACCCGCCTGCTCGTGGAGCACTCTTCATGCCTCCCTTTTAATGCTGCCCCTCCCCTTCCTCTCCTCCTCCACCCAGACCCCCTCACCCACTGCCATCCCCGCCCTCCTTGGTGCACACATCTCTCGGCGAGGCCTCCACGTCTCAGTAGTGTTCATCTTCCCCATCTTGCCTCGCTTCACCAGCTTCTTCCGCTCTCTGCTCTTGTTCCTCTCCCGAGCCCCTTCTGTTCTGCCGACCCCCCCCCTCCCCCTCCTCCTCACCCTCCTCATCCACCTCCCCCCCCTCCTCCCCTCCCCCCCCCACCCCTCCCCCATTTCCCCATTCCCCCGTCACCACCACCTTCCCTACCCTTCATCAGCTCCCTTGTTTCCACGGGGCTCTTCCCGAACCTTGTTGCCCGAGGCGCAGAGTTGGCCTTGGAGGCGAGGGAGTGGGGGAGGGAGCGTGGGCGCTCATGAGGGCAGAGAGGAGTGCCAATGCAGGCGGGGTCTCTCAAGATGGACTCGACTCGCGCGGCAGCGTGCCAGTGGCAGCGTGCCCAGCAGCATGTGGATCTCCGCCTCGCGCCGCTGCCTCCCATCTCAAACGGATTCGCCACAAATGAGTCAGAAACAGCAAGGAAAAAACTTTCGCATGCCCACCACCCAAAACGTCCTCGTACGGGCAGAACAAAAGTCTCTTCACCGCTGCTGCCACTGTGGTTCTGATAAAAGTGGCTTCGCCTCTCACTACACCGCCACTGCTAGTGTTCCTGTTTCCACCCGCTCGCCCCAATCCTGAGATCCAGGCATGGCGTGCGCTGCTTCGTTGCCAGCGCCTCCTTCCTCACCTCCACCACCAAACCAGCTGTCAGCTATGATGGCATCGCAGCGCCCCTTGCGCGTCTTGCACTGCGCCACGTGGCGGCCCGGGGTGGTGTCCACGTGGTCCAGCACAGCACACCGCACTTGGAGATTCACGCCAGCAGCACGTGGTGCCGCAGGTACTGCCAGCAGCACGTGGTGCCGCAGGTACTGCCGGTGCAGTGCCTTGCTGCCCGTGATGCTCTGCGGAGGGGAAGGGGAGAGCGGGAAGGGAAGGGGGAGAGGAAGCGGGACTGGGAGAGGGAGCGAGAAGGGCAGGGGGAGGCAGGGAGAGGGGGACGGGGAGGGGGAAGGGGGAGTGGAAGGGAGAGGGGGAGTTGAAGGCGGGGAATGGGGAGGGAGCAAGGAAGGGGGATGGGGAAGGCAGGTGAAGAGAAGTGACGAATGTTCAGCGGAGAAAGTGAGAGATGAGATAAGCAAAGATGCTGAAGCGCAAGGGAGGGAGAGGTGGGTGCGGAGGGGAGGAGAGGTCAGCGCAGCATGAGAGGCGGGCGAGAGAGGCCGGTGAGATTGGTGCGGGAGGGAGAGACGGTGGGAGGTGGACGTTATGCGTGACCCACTGGCTGGGGGTGGCGCAGGGGAGGGTAAGGGAACGGAGAAAGGGGAAGGGAATGGGGTGAGTGGAGAATACTGGCGAGTGGTGGGCTGGGCGGCACCGATTGGCGTATGCACACCGGATGGGTGGCAAGGGAAGATCAGACATAGGGACAGCGATGAGAAATTGCCAATCGGTGTGCGAGTGTTGGCTACTGGTCGGACTCTGCACGTCTGGTTGGTTGGTGCATGAATAACTAGGCAGGCATTCAGCCGTGAGGCGCCGCCAGCTGCGCCTGCAGCCACAGCGCTGCCCTTCCAGTGACGCACATGCGTCCCACATCCCTCTCCCCACCTACCTACCTCCTTTTCCCAGCTGGATGTGGCAGCACCACTGCAACGATCACCTGAGAAACATGCCTCTCCTCTCTTCATCCCGCAACGCCCCGCACACCTGCTTTTCTCGCTGCGCGCCTTTGAGGAGCAAAATCGCCACAGGGCACCCAGCACCCCGCAGCTTGCCCGTGACAGTGCGCTCGTGTTGCAAGGCCGGGGGGTGGGGGGGGGGGGGGGGGCGGGCTATATGGGCCAGAACTCGGTGCACGAGAAGCAGGTGCGGTGCAGAGCTGGTGGGAAGATGGGGGAAGGATGAAGGAGAGTGGGAAGGGGAGGGTAATGGACAGAGCCTGGGTGAGGGCAGTGCGGCGCCACTGTGGGGCCGGAAATCCGTGGGTCTGATATTTGGCACGGGAGCCGCAGGGTGGACAGGGCTCGACAGGGGTTGGAGCTGGTGTGAAGACGTGGAACGAGCTGAGGGAGGTGGACAGGGGAGTGTAAGGGGGTGAGCAGTGCGGTGCGACTGCGCTGTGGGGGACGGAGTCCGTGCAATGGCTCAGGCGTGGGGGGCTAATCTTTGGGCCCAAACATGTGAGTGACTTTTGAGTCGCCTCAAGAGTGGCCCAGATGTGGGTGTACGAGAAGCGGGGGGGGGGGGGGGGGGGGGGGGGGGGGGGGGGGGGGGGGGGGGGGGGAGAGGGGGGAGCTCAAGGGGAGGGGGGGGAGGAGGGGAAACGAGGTGAATCCGCATTGGCTTATGAGAGGGATATGGGGGACAGTGCGGAAGGGCGTGAGTGTGTGAATTGGGGGGAGGTGGGGATCGGGGGAAAGGGGGAAAGAGGCTAAGCGGAAGAAGAGGGGGGAGAAAAAGGGATAGTGACTTGGTGAGTAGCGTGTTTCTGCGGTAGGGGCACATATCAGCGAGTGCTGATCGAGAAACCACAGGTGAGGTTGGATGGATGGGTTGGGAGGGGGAGGGGGATGCGAATGGGGGATGGGTGGGGAGAAGAAGTCAGGAATTGCGAGGGAAAGAAAGGGAGATGGCGGGGGAATGGGATGGGGAAACGATAAATCTCACCTGGGCTGCAACCACACTCTCATCTCACCTGGCCTCCCCATCACCTCCCTCCACACACTCTCACACCCATACAGCCACTCTCACCGACTCCTCACCAACTCTCAGCAACTCCCACCTGGGCGACATCCAGCTATTCAACTGCCCCCTTCCCACCGTCGCCTACAAGTGACTTGAGAAACTTGAAATACTCCTACGCGTTTCTCACCACCGACTCTCACGTTGAAAATTCCCAGCGCCCCGGGATCACGGCCACCCATTGGTGACCCCACCATTCCACTCGACCCGGGTGGTTGTGACAGGTCATGGCAGAGCCTGGCGCTGGGGAGGGGGAGGGGGGAAGAAGGCAAGCGTGAAGACAGGGGTAAGGGGAGGGGGAGGGGGTAAGTGAAAGGGGAGTGCGTATGGGTAAGGTGAGGCGGTAAGCGGAGAGTTCAAGATGGTCCTGAGGTGGTGCGTTGGCAAGCAGTGTGGCTGTGCGAGTGGGTGCGAGGAGGGCATGGAAACAGCAAGCAGGAGCGGAGCGTAGTTGGAGGGTGGGAAGAGGGAGTTTGGCATGGGTGGGCGGGAAGGGAGTGCCGCAGGGTGCTGTGGACAATGCTCCAAACCACGACGCCTCTCACTCATCGCCTCTCACTTATTGCCTCTCACAGATCGCCCCTCTCACACCCATCAACTTCACCCCCCCTCTTCCCCTTTTTCTTCACAACCCGTTTCTTCAATCCCCCTCCCTTCAACCCCCCTTCCTTCACCCCCAATTCACCACACTCCAAACGCGAATCGCCATCCCTCAGAGCGACTCACCCTGGTGAGATCGAGCTAGTTAATGATTGCGCGCCAGCCCCATCAACAGTCCACCCTTCACCGCCCCCTCGCCCTCCTTCCCGCTCTCCTCGTGTCGCCACTGCCACTGCCACTGCCAACGCCGCTTGCGCTGCTTGGCGGTGTCCCCGCCCGTTTCGCCGACTGCCGCAGCGCATGCGAATTCCGCCGTTCTTCTCCCTTTCCTTCCCTGTATCCCTATTCATATATTGGTTCATCCCTATCCTTCTCCTCGTGTGCTTGCACATGGGCGCTAATCTTGCCAACAACGCGTGACTAAAACCTGAGGCAAAATCTATTGGTCACTGAGCCGCCACTAGTAGCAAAGCACTCCTCCTTCACTCCTACGATCCACCTGCGCCTTTCGAGACAACCCATCCTCCACCTTCGCTCGCACGAGCCGCCTCCTAAATCCGCAATGCCGTCTTCCCAGCCGCGCATCTAAACCTGAAGCCGGGTTTGGCATTCTCATATTCAAGTTCGCTCGAAGATGGAGGTCGTTAGTGCGACTTCCGATTGCCATACCGTTCGCGATCTGCCAGTCTTGCCACAGCCGCGCTCATGATCAGTTGAAAATTTACTGATACGCGACTCAGCAGCAATAAGACTGAGGATCTTGTGATCAGGAAGGAAGAAGTTGAAAGTTAGAAATTCGTCACGGGGGATACTGTAATTCTCTGTAGGCGGATCAAAGAAGAGGTGGGTCACTACCCAACCTCCTACTAACCATCACGATGAACAAGCGGCTCGAGCGTCGGTCCTTAGACGCGAGGCAACAGCAAGAAAATGCACCAACAGACCCGTAACCTTCGAGTCGCACGGAACTGACCGTCTAGGAGGCATTTGATTCGAACGTAGGGAAACCCGAAAACCATTGCTCTCTCTTCCTATTTGAGCAGCCGCCATGGTTCAGCAACAACAAGCAATGGCAAGCCACATACAGCAATACTAATGCGCGCCGAGCTCGTCGCAACCTCAGAATTACCGAGTCTGGTAACAGACAAACAATCGCCAGGGTCTGAGATTGACCCTCCCCCCCCCCCCCCCAAACACGCCACTCCCCCCCTCCCCCCTCCCCAACACCCCACTCCCTTTCCCTTCCCACACCAACAGCACGTGCCCTGTACTAGCCATGAGGAGCCCAGCTCATTGCTGTGACACACAGCTGGGCGATATGGCAGAGCCACGGGCTGCAGCAGTGGCAGTCGTGGTGGCGAGGCCAGTTAGCAACTAGTGGGCGGAGGCCGGGATCTTAAGTGCGTGAAGCATCAAGCGGTGCGAGGCGAGCACATTCCATGGTCACATGCTGGTTCAACCACACCATACTACGTCAGACCTGCCCTTTGAGTCCGACACACACCCTAGGTCAAATATACAAGTCAGACATACAGACCAGGTCAGGCATGCAGATTAGGTTAGGTGAGGCATGAAGGATATAATAGACATACATGTTGCTCAGACAGATCAGGCCAATTGAAGTCGTGACGCAGGCAAGCCTGCGGTTGATGGTATGTTCAATGAGGGCCCAGGCACACCTAAAGGTCGGCAAAACACTCTAGGTCAGGCACACACCCTATACGGTCAGGCACACACCCTATACGGTCAGGCACACACCCTATACTGCCAGGCACACACCCTATACTGCCAGGCACACACCCTATACTGCCAGGCACACACCCTATACTGCCAGGCACACACCCTATGACAATGGTTACTCACCTAGATTGATCCGGAAACTGTCCAATAGAAGTAGCAGACACAAGTGGGTGCAATTAGTCCTTCCTCCATCAGATCTCAGCCACAATCTCTCCGCATGTTTCCCATCCTATTAGCTCCGTCTCTCCCCCCACGTCCTTCGTCCTTTCTGCTTATTGACGGAGGAACAGACTCAGCAGTACGTGCAGAGAAGAGTTGAGTACTAGTATGGCTACCCATCAGTTTTGAGATTTCATAAAAGTGCCATCACACCCCTCAATCGCATGTGTTAGCTAGACTCTTCTTCCTCCCACACGCCCCGTGCGTCCCGTCCCTCCCACCCCCTTTCTTCAGCTGCTCTTTGAAAGAGGAACGGAGGCTAGACAGAACGCATCAGCAGACCTGGTAGCATCGATCGGGTCTCTTGCTGCTGTCAACGGGAGTTGTGTGTTGGCCCCGTCCTCGCTTGGGCGGAGCCGACTTCGTGGTCGGGTGTGAGGGGAGCAGCCGGCCTGCAGCAGTGGGCGAGCTGGTTGACGAGGAGGTCGACCTGGAAAGTCGACCTGCGGAGGACGCCGACTTGGTGACGTCAACTTGGGGGCACCCGACTTGGGTGGTCGGCTGACAGGACTTGCTGGTCGACCTGGTGGTTGGTCGACCAGACCTGCTGGTCGACTTGTTAGTGGTCGACCTTACCTGGTGGTCGACGAAGGAGGGGCCGACGTCGACCTCGACTCAGGACGCCGAGCAGTTGGGCGTCGAGTAGCTGGGCGTCAACTTGGTGACGCCGACTTCAGGTAGCCGACTTGGATGGTCGGCCGACAACTGCGCTGGCCGACATGAAGCCGGTCGACCAGGAGTGCTGGTCGACGTGGAGCTGGTCGGCCAGGAGTGACGTCGACCTGGGGCTGGTCGACCAGGGGTGTGGTCGACCTGGTGAGGTCGACTTGGGGTGGTCGTCGACTTGGGAGGTCGACGGGCACATACGGGAGCAGCTGGTCGACGTGGTTGCCCAGTCGACCAGGTTACCTGGGTGACGAGGTTCTGCGGAGGAGTGCGACGGTCGCCCAGGCGAAGTTGGCGAGCCCGACCTCGGTGGTGGTATCCCGAGGTCGACGTGGCTGATCAGATGCAGCCGTCAGCGCCAGGTTGACTTGGTGTGTGCGTTGTGCAGGTGACGAGGCTCAACCCGCCAATCATCTGCGAGCACCTGCGAAGCGGGTGCACTGCTGTTCTGCGTGAGCAACGCTGGCACGCCGTCAACCTGCGACGTTGGCACGCCGTCGACTTTGCACTGCTGGAGCGCGGTCGACCAAGTCGTGTTGGAACGCGCTCGACCATGCTACGCTGGCAGTCGACCGACCTGAATGCTTGCTCTGATGTAGTCTTGTCATGCCAAGTTCATTGTACCATTGTTGTCAACCTTTCTTAGTGAAACTCTTGCCAATTCTCCCTGTGAACTAGCAAGCTGTGTGTGCACTAGGAAAACGACTAAAGACCAACGAACGCAGAGATCACAGGAGCATCCGTGCCTAGCCCGTAGTCTAGCTCCCGTTGTAGTAGTTATCTCCGCATGGTGCGGTGAGCGTGGACGGCACACGACTTACCTTTCAGTCAGGTCGACGTAGAGGTCACATACCTAAGTTGCTCGTAGGCCGGCAGCCGTACAGGTCTTTAACGTGCGCGTAAGAGACACCACGGTGATGGACACTCCGGAGGGACGGCTGGAGGATGCGAGGAGATGCCATGAGGCCCAGGAGTACGGGGTGATACCCTGGGCGGTCGTCGAGGCTGGACTCCGCTCTGTGTGGGCAGCGGAGCACCCCCTCTCTCGACCTGCTTCTCCTCGACCGGTGACCAACGAGGGTGGCGTCGACGTGGGCGTCAACGCCGGAGGTGGCCAAGTCGGCAGCAGTGCGGGAGGCACGTTGAGGCAGAGAGGTGTGATTCACGCCGATGAAGTCGGCGGCGTTCACGCGCGAGGGGTGCAGTCGTCGGCGGCTGCAGGCTCCTCGCAGGGCGACGTCGGAGGACGACGAAGCGGATTGTCGCCGATGTCGGCGACTCAGGTGACAGCGGCCGGGATTGCACCAAGCTACGGCTACTTCAAGTTCACGCCGGACAGGATCTTGGTCACCCCGCCGCTCGTCGGTCGACAGAACATCCTCACGTGGAAGGAAGCCATCGAGCCCCAGCTGGAGATGGCCGGGCTGATCAATTTTGCTCGGGGAACGGTGGCGACGCCGGACGACCCCGACTTGCGCGCGGAGTTTCGCGCCGTGCAGCTGTTGACCTTCATGGTCATCTCGCGGTGCTGCTCGCCGGGCGTGCAGATCGCCTTGAAGTGGTGCCGGAAGTACCTCGACGCCGGCCACCAGGCGTGACACTTCATTGAGTCGACCTACCAAGTCACCGACGACTTGTTCATCGCCCAGCTGGAGGGACAGCTGACGCACCTGCGTATGGGCGACGAGGAGACGGCGACCGACTGTCGGCCAGGCAGCTGAAGGAGCACGGCGTGAAGCTGCAGGAGGACGGAGATGGCATGCTGCTCGTCTCGGCGGCTGGGGAGGTGCTCGGTCGGGCGACGTACTCCGGGCGAGTTCTCTGCACCGACCTACGTCCCTGCTCAAAGACGTCGACGTCGACCACGTCGGACGTTGTGGCCCTGCGGGCGATCGTCTTGAAGACGAAGTCGACGCCGGACTGGATGCACGCGAGGGCTTGCGCACGTCGGCATGGACACCATCAGGAGCTCGGCGAAGCACGAGGTCGCCATTGGGCTGGACCTCAAGTCGGCGACGGGCGCCGACTCCCCGTGTGTCTCATGCGTCGGCGGGAAGCTGGCGCGGCACACCTTCCCCGACCAAGGCTCCGACGCCGACGACGTGCTGGCCGTCGTGCACATCGACCTGTGCGGGCCGTTGCCCCTCCCCTCGTGGCCGACCTGCACGGGCTGACTCCTACGTCGGCCTCCGGCGATGAGGGGAGCAGTGGGACGTCGCCTTCGGCACCGGCCCAGGGCATCGCTGGTGGCCGACGTGACGAGTGGCAAGTCGACGTGGGATTGAAGCCGACGTCGATAGGGGAGGAGCAGGTCGAGGAGCAGCAGCCGACAGGGGAGCAGGCAGCAGTGAAGCCGACCACGGATCAGTCGGCAACCGGGCAGTCGACAGGGGAGCCGACCACAGGGGAGAGGTCGGCCAGGAAGTCGACTGAGGTGCAGCAGGACGACGAGGGCAGTGAAGACGGTGACGAAGGAGGGGACGCCGAGGTGTCCACCAAGAGTGACGTGGTGGAGGTTCGGCCGGAACCCCGGAAGTCGGGCTGAGTTCGGAGGCCACCGGACTTCTTCGTCCCTGCTGCCTTCACCACGGTGTACGACGTGGAAGATGACGACGACCTGCCGTACGACGACGCCGAGGAAGATGAGGAGTTTCCGGAGCTCGACCCTGACATGCTG